CCGTGGTCGGCAAACTGCGGCTCTCGAGCCACATGCGGCTCTTTGGCCCCCTTAGTGTGGCTCTTCCTAAGCCTTAGGAGTACCCTAATTAAGTTAATAACAATGTACCTACCTATATAGTTTAAGTTTAAAAAATTTGGCTCTCAAAAGAAATTTCAATCGTTGTACTGTTGATATTTGGCTCTGTTGACTAATGAGTTTGCCGACCACTGGCCTAAGGGACGTGGATCACAGACTCAGCTGCGGGGCTGACATCCTCTCGGCCGCCTGGACTGGTTGAAATCATCTTGTTTTCTGGCCCCCAGGGAGGCATCACCAGCCTCCTTATTAAAGAACAGACGCGGCTGCCCCTTGTAAGCACTTTCCAGGCGCCGTGCACTTTTAACCAGTTTAACCACAGTGCAGGGAGCCGGGCCACGTTAAGGCCCCCATTTTGGAATGGCGATTAGGGCTGAGGGAGGAAGTGACCAAGCAAGGTCACCTGGCAAGTGAGTGGCAGCATCTGGTTTCCAACCCAGAACCGTCTGACCACGGTCCTGTGTTCTGCCTACACTTACCGCGATGTGGCCCCCGCAGTGGAGCACCTGGGAGGGGCCTGCCTGCCCCATATCACAGATGAGCTGGACCATCCCAGAAGGTGTAAGGTTTGTGCCGAGAAGGGGCCACAGTTGCAGAGGGAGCTCCAAACCCAGCAGGTCCCATGGTGAGGCCCTCACCCTCCTTACCCCTACCCCGAACCCCTCCTCCATTACAGCCACGTTGATGCATTTCCAAAGCAGGAGCATTCTGTCAGCCCTCCACCCCCATCTGTACACATGCACAAATGCATGCACACGCACACACAGACATTTACACGGACACACCTGCACGCACACGCTGCTCTTGCTCCAGTTCCCGGCGCTGTTCCTCTGCCACCTCAGCCCCATTGGTCCTTCCCTGATTCCAGCCTCCCTCCCCAGCTCGCACGCTCTTCCTGAGACCCCTGCCCTCCCCCCACTCGGCTGGTGGTTAAAAGACAAGAACACTGAGAAGACACAGCCGCTCTGTCTGCCTTCACAGACAGGCCCTGTCCTCCCTGGTCCGATGCGCGCAGAGGTGGACTTGGCCGGAGGGCCTGGCTCTTGAGCAGCTGTGCACACCTGCAGTTGGGCGGGGCTGGCCAGCCTGTCCCAGGGGCCCTGGACCAGATGCATCTGTTTGGTCAGATCTACCTGCCTGCCCTGGCCTCCCTCTCAGCTCTGCATGACACCTGTGCCCGCCGGATGGGACAGGGATATGACAGCAAATGGGAGATGCTGATATGGGACAGAGTTCCAGAAAAGGAAGGCACAGGGCACAACTGTCCCAGAGCAGTGGAATCTGTACGCCCCGGGGCCTGGACACCCGGCTTAGCATGCTTCCCCTGGGCAGCGCCCCCCCCCCCCCCCCCCCCCCCCCCCCCTCTGTGTGTCACGGGGTAGAGCCATAACCTCCCCATCGGCCCTGCCCTGAGTGTGACAGTGGCGGCACCCCAACCC